GTCTGCAAGGACGCCGGGAGGCAGGGGTGTCTGTTCCCTCCGAGCCCTCGCCACCATCGCTAAGGCAGCCATGCCTTTTTCTGTGGATGTCGAGGATCTGCTCCGTTCTATCAGCTGGGTTTGGGAATGGAGCGGCCGTCTGAAAGGTATAACGGCAACAGCAGCGGCGCGCGCGCGCGCGCGCCCGCCGGCGCGCAGGGCATGCCTCCGATATCGCGCGTGCGGCCAGCATGCTGGCGGAGCAAGTGTTCGAGACCCACCAGGATCTCGTCGGGGCGCAGCTGAGGTGCATCGCGGACCTGCATGTCCTGCCAGCACCCCTCCTGTCGGAGCTCGATCGCCTGTGCGGCGCGGGACCCTCTTCCGCGCGTAGCGGGGATGCGCGGAGCCGTTCTCCAGAGCGCCTGACAGCGATAGCGCCTGCATTCGAAAGGGCGATGGCGCGGCCAGGACCGCCCTCGCCACCCGTGCCAGGGGGACCGCGTCGCAACGCGCAGCGGCTTGCGTGCTCCATGCCCTCGCAGGGGGAGCGGCGCGAATGGGCGGAACGGGCCCGATTGGAGGTCCTGGTCAGCACTATACCATCCACCCGCCAAACTTTGAAGAGCGGTGCGCGGTGCTGGCTCAATTTCGCGATAGACGTACTCGGACGTGACCGGCATCTCGCGCTGCCGCCCAGCGAGGCGCGACCAATCCGCGCAACCCCTCCTGCGCGGCCCGCAGACTCATATAATCTGCGGCGTGCGCCCAGGGCGATCTGTTGTGCTGTCTCTTGCGCGGGCGCGTTCCAGAATTAATGCGGGCACGTGCAGACAGCGTGCGAAGGTCGCGACCCGCGACCGCCCGCGCGGCTCGGCGCGCACATCCCTCCGCCCCTCTTGCGCGCACAAGGGGGCACGCCGATGACATCGATCGCGCGGGTGCACCGATCGCAGTAACGAAGGAACGTGGAGGTTGGGCGTCGAACGCCTACCTGGCTTACATCGACCGCGTCCGGGTCGAAAGTGAGAGGGCAGCGGCCGCGCGCAACGCCGCGTCCGACTGCTCGGACAGCTCTGACAGCAGCTCAGACACCTAGTGTGGCTGCGACATCCCGGCGCGCGCCCGAGCGCCGCGCTCCGCGTGCGCAATGGGTGAGCGGCGCACGGCGCTGGTCGTATCGTTGCATTGGGTCGTGCTGCGACCAGCGCCGAGGCCTCGTGGCGCCCGCGCCCTCTCGGCGCGGCGCAGGCTCCGGCGCGCGCCCAACGCTGTGGTTGCAGACGCAACCCAGCTACGGTTGAGCGGGGTGCTCAGCGAATTTGTGTGTATGGAACGAGTTCGGCCCCTGGTTCCATCGCGCACACTCGCTGGCCCCAGGCGCACGCGGCGGACGCAGGCGCGAGCAGTCGCCGCGCCGCCGCTTGGTTCGCGCGCGGCGCGGCGCGCCGCAGGCGATGTGGGCAGGCCCGCGCGCAGGTACCGCTGGTCTGTGTGTGTGCCTGGGGCGCGCGCCCCGCGCTCGGGATTTGACCCGCCCGTGCCCGCCCCGTTTCTCGCCCGTTGCTGGGTCGTGCTGCGACCAGCACCGAGGCCTCGTGGCGCCCGCGCCCTCTCGGCGCGGCGCAGGCTCCGGCGCGCGCCCAACGCTGTGGTTGCAGACGCAACCCAGCTACGGGTGAGCGGGGTGCTCAGCAAATTTGTGCGTGTGTGTGTGTGTGTGTGTGTGCTTGTGTGCGTGCGTGCGTGCGTGCGTGCGTGCGTGCGTGCGTGCGTGCGTGCGTGCGTGTGTGTGTGTGTGTGTGTCTGTGTGTGTGTGTGTGTGTGATTGTTTGGGGGAATAATATTAATGCAATTTATTTGAATTTCTATGCTCTCTCTCTATCGGGGCGGCAGCGGCAGACCGGGCGGGCGAGGCCGGGGGCGACGGGGGATGGGGGGGCGACGAGCGCGGGCGGGAGAGGAGGGCGAACGGCGGGGAAAATAATATCGCAATGGGAAGGGGGGGCCATAGGGGGAATGCGCGCGGGCGGCCCAGCGCGTCGTCGCGCGAAGGGTCGCGCGCGTGCCTGCGGAGGCTGGGGCGGGGGTGGGTGGCGGGCGCGATGGCCCCCTGGCCTCCTCGTCTCTTCCTCGTCCGGTCCTCTGCGCACCTCCCATCTTTTACTTGTCCCTCCTGTCCCTCCGACCCTCCTTTTTCCTCCTTCGTTGCCGCCCCCGCACTCGTCGCCCTTCATTCTTCGCGCGCCCTCGCCCCCCTTCGCCCGCGGCCCCAATCGATCGCCGCCCGCTCGCGCGGCGAGCAACGAATCCCTCGGGGCCGCGCTGGATTTCGACCCCGCCCCCTCCTCCTCCCACTCGCCCCTTCTCCTCCTCGCTCCTGCTCGACTGCTGGCTTGCAGATTCTCGTTCGCCATTCCGATTACAAGCGGGGGGCGCTGCCCGGGCGGGGGGGCGCCCGCCCTTCCTGCGGCGCAAGGCCCCCCGATTGAAGTCGGGCAAAGTGCGAGGCGGTGGCCTTGGACTTGTCGATGACGTTAGCGATGGGGGCGTTCTTCGCCGTCGGAACCTGGGCCGCGCCGCCGTCGGACTCGACGTCGCCCTTGTCGCCGTTGAACTCTGGGGCCCCGGCCGTCGAAACGCACCGGCGCCGCGGCAGCGTCGCCCGGGTCGCTGGGGGCGCCCTGCTCCAGCGCGCAGCCGACCGTGCGCCCCATGGCCTCGGCCCCCTCCGCGGCGATGGGCGCGCCCGCGAACGCGCGCGCGCCAGTGCCGCCGCCCGTGCCGGAGTCCTGCGCGGAGCTGGTTCCGATGGTGAAGGCGCCTACGGCCTTGGCGCCCCATCGCAGCATGTGCGGCCCCTTCGTGGACGTCGCGTGCCCCCCCCCCGCTCTAGGTAGTGGCGGCGCGGCCATCGGCGCGTCTCCTAGCCGCTGGTGTTCATGGCTGCGCGAATCTCAGTCTGAGAAAGTAGCTTGGCGCGTTCGCTCTTCGGGGCATCAGGTAACTGCTGCAATGGTGGCGCGGCGGCGCGTGACTTGCAAGCCAAATCGGCGCGCTTGCATTTGATTTTCTCATGCTCAGTCGTCGCTTGGGTCTCAGATGACGCCGACAAAGTCGACCCTCCGTCCCGCGTGAACTGGCCTGGCGCACCCGCCATCGCCATCGCGCGGGACGCGATGCGCTCGGCCCCCGCGCGAGAACTCCAAGTTCGCAGCGCCCGCCACGCGGGCCCCCTCACCCCGCGGCGCGCGTTGAAACTCGATGCGAACAAACTCTTTCAGATCCGCGAGCCAGTCGGCCGACGACCCACCGCCCCGCCGGCAAGCGTAGGCGCGCGCGTGTCATGCGCGCGCCCCTTTGATGACGGGGCGTTGTCTCCTCTTCGGGGATGCAGCCCCGCCCGCAGCCGTTGTGTTTCGCGTAGCTTCCGTTCCCCACCTGGTGGATCTGGCGCAGCGCCTGCATCTGCGCACGCGGCCTCTCCGCGCCCGCGCCGTGCTTGGAGTTGCCGGCGCGCCGGAGAAACTCTGGCAGCATCAGGCGCGCCTGCTCGATTCCTTTTTGATTATGGAGAAACGGATGCCTCTGTCGAGCGACGCGGCGGAAGCAGGGCAATGCGGCGACATCGTCTCGCGAGATAGCCGACCTTCCACGCGCGCAATGCAGCGACGTAGCTTTTGCATTGTTACCCCCACTTGTCATATGGTGGTTTCAGGGATTGAGAGGAAGAAAAAGCAACCGAAATTTCGAGACCATTCAGCTGACATTACATAGTTTGCAGACGTGGCACGGCAGAGGTAGAGTTTGTCTGACGGCCCTATCGTATGAGACCCACAAGTGGCATCAGGATATTTGCCTGCGGCTGCACTGAATGAGCACAGGGTGAGGGTGGAGGTCGAGGGATTGGGCTTGTCAGAAAGGGCAAGCGTGATAGTAGCACGGGAACTCGGGCATCGACCATAGCTAAAGACAGCGCCAGACTTTGGAAGGGATTGATCTCAGGACATATGAAGCACGGGGGCCTGGAGCAATGTGGACGCACAGCGCCAGATAAACTAGCAACGTCGGCGACGAGCAGTGGGAGGCTGGAGTAATGGAGGGTCAAATGGGTAACGGAGGGGAGACGGAGGGATTGGCGAAGCATGGCGGTGAGCAAGAGCACGTTTGGGGTGGAGGGAATGGAGACGGAGAGAGAGGACAGGAGAGACGACGACACGTGAAAGGTCGGACGGACTATGAGGCGGCCACGGGAGGAGAGGCAAGGACCGAAGACAGCACAGTGGAGAGCGAATGGGCAGGATATGGAGAAAGGGAGGGGCACAGAAGAAGAGAAAGGAGGGAGCTTCAAACGACAACATCAACATCGGCAGCTGCAAGCCGCGAGCCTTCGGAGTGAAGACCTTCTCGAAATAAGCAGGGGGTTGGCGGGGCCGCAGACCCGCCGTTCGCGCGCCGTGCTGACCCTCTCTCGCTCACGTTCGTTTCCTCTGACTCTCTCTCTCTCTCTCTCTCTCTCTCTCTCTCTCTCTCTCTCTCTCCCTCCCTCCCTATTGTGCCCCTCCAAGCCCATCCCCCCAAACGTCCTCAAGGATCGCGCTTCCCTTTCACCCTCTCACCGTCAGGCCCCTCGAACTCATTCAGTCGAACCACCCCCTCGAAGATCTCAGCCAGCAGCCAGCGCCAGGGACGGACAGGATAGGACGAGCAACGTGTGGGGGGTGCGTCTGAAGAAAAGGCCGCCGACTATGAGCAAGACAGGTTTGGATGAGAAGGAGGCGGACGACGCCGACGACGATGGATGGAACTGAAACTGAGGATGGGTGCATGATGCTCGGGGGTTGTGTTGCAAAGCGGCCTGGCCCCACCTGGCCACTATTGTAACTCTGCCACTGCGCTGCAACGAGTGGCAGCGTCACGCACTAAAGCAAGAGTTCGACGTGTTACCCCTTGGCCTCATCCCTTCATCCTCCTATATCCCTCCTGAGCCACCGCGCTCTGCGCGACCGACCATGTCTGACCTATTTGTTGGTGAGCGCCGACTTGGCCCACTTCTTCCTGCTGCTCCCCGACGGTGCCGTAGAAACGCTCGCAATGCTCGCAACATCCGTCGGAGGCTTGTTGACGGGGGCGCCAGCGAGTAGGCTCTTGAACTCGCCGAGGTGGCGGTTGAGGTTCTGCGGGAGGTTCTCGAGCTGCACGTTCAAGTTCACCTTCACCCACTTCGTCGTCTGGTCGTAGTCGGCCAAGGTAGGCTTCCCATCAGTGGTCGTGACGAGGTGAACGAGTGCGATGGAAGCCGCCAACACCGCGCTCTTCTCCAAGATGCCCTTGCGGTGGCTGATCATTGCCTGGAGCTCCTCGATCTCCTGCCTATTGTCGGGGTTGTGCCAATCAACGCTCTTCACAACTGTGCCGATGATCTTCTCATTCGTGGGGAACTGGGCCACGGCGTTCGCGATCTGCTGCCCGAGCTGCTTCACCTTGGGGTCCGCGCCGCCATTGAGCAAAGCCACGTCCGTGAAGTCCCACTTCTCGATGGCCACGTTGAGGTCGTTGGAGTAGTTGGCGATCCAATCGCCCTGCAAGCTTGAAATGAATGCCATCGCAGTCTTCTGCTGTGCAACGAGCGCATCCCACTCCTTGAGGCCCTGCTGGTAGACACGGTCGAACACTGCGTGCTTCTCGCAAGCAGATACAAACTGAGTCAAAGCCCAGGACATGGAACTCAGCAAACCGTTGACGTCAATGAGGCTAACGGAACGGCCCGCCTTCTGGCGCTCGTCTGCGCTTAAAACCCTATCGAAGATCACCGCCACCTTCAAAACGTCAACAGCTCCAGGAGGTAGCATGTCTTTCTTGATGGTCAGCAAGTTAGTGAGCGTTTTCATCCCTTGAGCGGGTGCCTTGTTCATGTACTCTACGAGCGTATCCCTGAAGCAGTCGCGCATGCTTCGCTTTGCCAGAATGTTCAAAAACAATAAAGCTGAAGGAGACTGTTGGAACGTGTCTGGAAGAGGCCTCGAATGTAGAGCCAAGTTCTTCGCGTTCTCAGCCTGTAAAGCCTCCGTCCATTTGTTGATCATCTCAGTGGGATCGGGCAGGATCTCCTTGTCTCTGGCCTCCGCAAGCTTGATCGTGACAGCGAGGTGGTTCGTGAGATGGAAGAGGACGCATGCTTCCTCAGCCGGCGGGCTGAAGTGCTCCAGGATTTTGAAGATGTGGTAGAACACGTTGGCCATGTCCCACAGGTCTGGCACTTCATCCTCGGGGGGCTGTTGCCTATCTGGTAGCTCTGGTGAGTAACCGCTCCCACTGTAGATGCCCTCCACACGGTCCTTGAACGAGTCGGTGAGGTCGACGACCTCGTTGAACACCTTTAGCGACACCTCGATGAACTTCACGCCCAGGCCAAACATATCTCGACCCTCCTGCGAATCAATAGTAGGCCCTCCCTGGCAGAAGACGTCGCCGAACTGCTTTGCCTCAGAAACACCATCAGAGCATATCTCCACCAGTACCTCGTACGCCTCCTCGAGCCTGCCACCATCACCCCTCCTGATCATCTCCTTGACCCTCCCCGCGAACCTATTCTGAGACATGTTCTCGCACTGCTTGGCATGCATCTCGCTCAAGTTCGTCATCGTGTCCCAGGCCTGCTTGCCATGCGCAGCATGAGATCCACCGAGAGATTTGAAATTCACCTTCATTCTGGGGGAGAGCTTCGACGCATTCTTGAGTAATGCCATGGCCGCAAGTCGGGTAGAGTGCTGGATAGGCACGGTCTCGCCTTGGAGGTCGACGTTCCTCCTGGCGTCAACGACCTGGCCGACGATCGCCACGGCGCCCAAATCCACGGCTGCTTGGGGCGTCAGGCCACACACGAGCTGATCGCCCCAAGCGTCCACGTCAGCGATGTCCTCGATCAGCTTCGGGCAACGTTCTGAAATCGCCTTGGCGATGGCACCAATCGACGATTCGTCCGACAGCTTGAACACAACGTTCCCTAAGGCCAAGACAGTGGACACCTGCAGCTTCCCAGCCATCTCCCTCGCCCTGCTGGCCTCGCAAGACAAGCCCAACATGGACACGTTCAAGTGATTCTCCCCCAGCGCCGCCTCGTCGAACTGGAGCACATTCAAGATGCTGCTGATGTAATCCTTGTGGGTCCCGACCTTCTCCACCAACGCATGCAAGTTCATCGAGAGAATCGTAGACATCAGGTCGTTGGGCGCAGACTTCAGCATGTCGAATAGTTGCGCCTCGATGGGCGAGGCGACAAACGAGGCAAACTCCCGTGGCTTACCGCCCACCTTGTCAAGTAGCTCCTGTCTGCACTCCAACTTGTCAGCCTCTGTGAAGATCCTGGCGGAGAGGTCAGTCGCCGAGTCGTTCCCAGCCAAACCCCCAGCTGCTTTACCAGCACGCTGCAACTCAGATAAGAAAGATTGGAAATCCTTCTCGCGGTTGCGGTTCTCCCAGTGGTTCTCCCAAGAATATTTCTCTTCCGCTTGTCGTAGCGCGAGCTCGCCTTTGTCGATCTTGGCCATGGCCCCCGTCCGCCTCGGCTTCTTAGATGCATCCGTTGGAGCGTCCACGCCGCCAGGTGCATCGGCAGGCCTCTTCGCAGCCGCAGGCGTGGTAGGTGGCAGCGAGGCTGGCTTGGCAAGGTCTGCCCCTGATCGACATGATGACCTGGCCGTCGAAACAACATCATCACATTCGTCTTCTTCAACTGTCGCCGTGAGGCGAGAAGCAAACCTGGCGCTCGAAGGCGCGGGGGCTCCAGCCTCGGCAGCTTCCTCGTCGGCCTTGCCAGTGATGCGCCTGCGGCCGAGGCCCATCTTCGTCGCGACGATGCCGTGTCTCTCATCAGCGCCCTCCTTCGACTCATGCTTCTCCGTCTTCGACTTCTGGCTGGCCCTCTCCCTGCCGCGCTTGAATCGGTAGGCCCCGAACTCGGCGCCTGACACGTCGGACACCTCGATGCCAAGCGCGCCGTCGTCGTCCTCGATCACCGTCTTACCCTTAGACTCGATCTGCTGAATCAGGTCGTCCTCATCCGAGTACTTCAGATTCCAGATCCTATGGGGAGCCCTCCTCCTCCTCCTCCTCCTCCTCCTCCTCCTCCTCCCCACCCTCCTTCCCTTGCTCCTTACCTCCTGCTCCTCCTCCTCATCGTCCACCTTCTCCTCCTCCTCCTCCTTTCCCTCCTCCTCGTCCCCCATCGCGTCCTGGCAATGTAGTCTATCGGCTGGAAGACGCCAGAGTCGTAGTCCTGGTCGAACTGCTTGTCATTCTTCTGTGTCGTGCGCTCCACGTTCATGGTGTGGTTTCTCTCGTAGTGGCCTTCACCAGACACCGCAGACCTACGACAGGTAGCAAACTTCTCAGCCAGATCCTTGTCCTGTTTACGTAGCTCTCTCGCCTCGGCTAAAGTGACCTTCGTACCGTGGACCCTCCTGCGGGTCTTATAGCAATCGTAGCGCTCGTCCCCCGCCAAAGAGGTTCCCTTTTTTGTGTTGTTCCGTTTGTGCCACTCGAGGAATTTTCCATCGCCGTCGCGATCGGCATCATGCGTCCACTGCTCACAGTCCACGCAGAACCTATGGTCGAACTCGAGCAGGGGATTCGTGTTCTTCCCCTTCTTGGCCTTGGACTTCTTAGGAGGCATGATGCCGTCAAGAGTCTCTGCAGGCCGGAGTCAACGACAACTTCGGTTGGAGGTTGACCCTCGAATCCTTTGGGCCAAAACGGCAACGGAGGGGAGGGCGGTGGAGTGATGGGTGCAGTTGGCGTGAAAATGGAAGATGCGTTGTTGTTGCGTGACTTGCTACTCTGCTGATGCTTGGACGTCGCGCTCTTGCTGTGCGATGCCTGGCACTCATGCTGCTTCCGACGTGCACGGAAAAAACGATCCGAATGACGACGACGACGAAGACGGCGATATTCCTCCTCCTCCTCCTCTCCCTTCCTTCCTCCTCCTTCTCCTCCTCTCTCTCCTTCCTCAGCTTAGCCCCCCCCCCCCCCCCATCCCCGACAACGCCCGCAACAAAATGGCATTTGTTGCGGGCCCCCCTCCTTCCCTTCGTCTTCAGCCTTTTCCTCTTCCTCGTTCTCCTCCGTGTCCTCTCCTCCTCCTCCTCTTCTTCATCCTCCTCCTGCTCCTCCTCATCCTCGTCTCTCTCTTCCTCCTCCTCTTCCTCCTCCTCCTCCTCTTTCGTTTATGTGCCGTGTGTTGGTGTTCCGACTGATCAATATTGCGTGTTGTTGTCGGTTATTGTTGTGTTTTGTTGTAGTAGCATGCTTGATGGCTCCTCTGATCCAAATCGTGATTGCGGCTTCTGCTGATGTGCTCCTGCGCGCTGCTGTGCACTGCTGCGCTGGCACGGCCTGGGGGCAAGTATGCGACGAGGAGGGGTGGGCCATGAGAGGGATACCCTCTTCGGACCTGCCGACCGTTCACCTCGACTCTGATCGAGTGGCTGGACTTTCTCGCTCACGCGCGCCGCAGCCCTTGCTCCGACTCAGTCCTGAGGCCCTTAGGTCCAGTCCGCCCTCCGCAGACCAGGCCGCGTAGGGCATGCCCAACACGCGGGCGCATCAACTCGCCTGCCCCCCCCCCCCCCCCCCCCCCCCCCCCCCCCCCCCATGCCGAAACCGAGTCCCAGAGAGGCCCCAGGAAAGTTAAGAACACATTCCCAGAATCTAAGAACACATTTAAGAACACATTCTGTTCTTAAATTTCGGCCCTGAAGTGTGTGAGAGGTGCCAAAAAACAGCCCCAGGGAATTTAAGAACGCATTATGTCCTTAAAAATGTTCTTAAATGTGTTCTTAGATTTCGACTGTGTTCTTAGATTCTGGCGGCAGAGGCGCGGTCCTCCCAGAGTTTCCCCCGAAAGTAGCATGCCCCTCAGCGTGGGAATCCCGAAACGCCCTCGGATGGGCATTGATGTTTTCATCTTCGGGAGGGGGCCAGGTCTCTCAAAAGATCAAATCAGAAACTAACATCAGCCGATCTCTTCGGCAACCCTAACAAGAACAGGCCGCGCCTCAGGTGTCGACTCTACCAGCTCAGCAAGCACAGCCCGATCGTGTTCTCTATTTTCTTCAGGTGCTTTCACGAGGCACTGGGAGTGAATGTAACGTTCTGCATTGATCTTGGTACCTGGTAACAAGCGGTACCTGAATCGCCAGACGCCTTTGGGGATCTTCTCGTCGCACCATGGACACACGGGACGATTCGACAGTGAGATGTGGCATTCGACTAGCCCGACGATGTCTTGATGATGCGGTGGAGGCTCTGGCGCCTTCACCTCCTCTGGCCCCTTGGGCTCCACTGGCTCCTAGAAGCGACGGAGACTGGGGTTGGGGAGGAGGGCGACGGGCATGGGAATGAAGAGCGTTAGAGAAGGATAAGGGAGCGTGAGGGTAGACAATAACAAGAGAAATGAATGGAAGGGCAACGAAAACGGATAGAATACCGAGGGTCCTCGTCTTTGTCCACTTGGTCTTGGTCTAAATCTTCAATTCCTGGAGATTCCTCCGAAGCCGCCTCGCCCTCTGACTCCTCCTCGCCCCTCTGTTTTAAGACCGCCTCCTCATCATCGGATACATCGCTGCCGATGTTGTCGTCGTCTCGTGCTTTCTCTGGGGCTGGGCGTTCTTTCGTCGGCTTCAGGGGGATCCAAAAAAACGGAACTTTGAATGAAGGTTTGGGCATGCTTTTCTTGATTGGCTTCACGACGCTGATAAGGGGCACCGCTTGTTCGAAATTCGGCGCGACGTTCACAACGCATTCGCTCACGTCGCTCCTTCCAGAATGATTGTAGAATTGAACGTCCACGGACCCGGTCTCATGAGGCGAAACCCCTCTCACGGCAGCAGCATCAATCACATATTTACGAATGGCCCCAAACGCAAGGATAGGACGCATCGGCTTAACGATGCCGACCATGTCAGACCCATCGTACTCGTCTGTAAAGCATGCTGGAACGAGAGTGATCGACTCCCCCCTGTTGAAGACCTTTGCCAAAAAAAAGAATATCTCTGACATGCCTTCGATTGAAAGGGGGATGGCGATGGGATACTTAATCAATTCTTTCTTGCCAACCTGCCTCACTAGAAGCCTGCTCCTGTTCGCAGACATCAGATTGTACACGTTCTTACAGAAGTTGATGCCTGGCTGCAGGAGGGGGTCTGCCCGACAAACCCCACCAAAACGAACGCAGCAGCACGTGAAGCAGGTCCTGGTCTCAGCTGGGTTGGGGGTTGGCGCCTCATCCGTGGCGACGGCGGCGTTGGCCCGCCTCTCCATCTCGCCCTGGTTCCCCTCCAGCACCATGGCTTCCCTCAAGCCCGTGTCGAAGCAGTGGAGCTTCGAGCCACCTCCACTCCCTCTCTTGGGCGGGGGCTCATGTGGGCCCCTCCTGCCCCTTCCTCCTCCTCCCCTTCCCTCTCGTTATCCCCCTTCATCCTTCCCTCGCATCTTCCTCATCTTCCGCTCCTCTTCTCTTCTCCCTCGCCTCCTTCCGACTCCCTCCCTCTCCTCCCGCTCCTCCACTCCGTCGTCGTCATCCACCTTCTCATCTCCCCCTCCTCCAGCTCATCTTCAACTCCCCCGTCATCCTTCTCCTCATCCTTCTCTTCGGCCTCCTTGTTCTCCTCCTCATCCTCCTCCTTCTCTCCTCCTTGCCCCTAGCAGGAGGCCAGCTCAAAGCATGGGCAGTAGTCAGAAGCAGCAGCACCGATGACGGAGGCGCAGGCGAGGATGAGGAATCAAAGGGCAGAGGGCGAGAAAGCTGAAGAAGAAACGGATGCAACAAAGAGCGTCTCCAACAATCCAAAAACGAGTGAGCTGGACTTCTGGCAAGCGCGCGCACTCTGATTGCTATAACAATATACCCACTCATGACGGCATGACCCCCCAAAAAACCAAAATGTTGCCGGCTAGGGCGCGTCTTTCAATAGGCGATTGGTTTGATCCATGCTAGTTTTTCCGCCTTGCAAACATACCCCACGTCAAGGCCACGCATCACTCGCAACATTGCTGCGCAAACACATCATGGCTACAACGTCGCAATCCCTCCAAATGCCCCCCCCCCCACCGCCCCAAGAATAATGATTCACAATCTCTGAGAACTTCTGCCTCGCCCTTCGCATGCGATCAGTATGCCTCCTCTGCCTCCCTGCAGCAAGTGGCGCGCCTCCCTGGGCAGCAGCGTCAATGCCAGGAGCCCTCTCCTCGTAACATCGACGATCCTCGAGAGATAGCGCTCTCCAATCTGCCAGCACCCTCTGACGGCGCTCGCGGAAAGGCAATGCTGATGAATGTGTCCCGAATGTCTTCCACGAACAAGTCATAGGCTCGGGTCTTCCTGGGGCGTGACCTCGCAGCTGAGCCAGGATCTATGCTGGCCATCTGGTTGGCTTTGCGCTTCGAAGCCTTCCTGAAAGCGAACGTCGACAATGACCTGAAGAACTCTGCCCGTGCAGCAGCGCCTCCAATCACATCGGACAGCACTTGTTTCTGCAAGGCCAAATGTGATATCCTGACCGATCTGCAAAATGCATGTTTAGACAACTGCCGTTTTGAAAATGCCCTGCCCCGCTTCCCTTTTGCTGGTCTGAACTGCTGGCCAATCACATGCTGCCGTTCGACTTTCGTCGCGCCCACTGGCAATGCGCTGAGGATGTCTTTCAACTCAGAATGAGCTTGCTTCGCAACTGGCAGGGGGCCCTCCAACTTTGCCAACCATATCTTGGTAAAGTATGGGTCCAAGCACTCTTCGCAATCTGTTGCAACGTCCATCTCTCTCAAACTCTGCGTTGTCCGTCTAACGATGTCCGCATTGAACTCCCACGACCTACACGCATTGAATATCAAATACTCGGGGTCACACGTCGGCACCACAAGTCTGTAATACGCATCAGCAGCAGCACAGATCATCGCATCGCACACCTGTTGGCACATATTGGCCTCCCCCAGCGTGTTCTCGCCAATCCAACCAGCACTATCAAGATCG